AATTCTAATGAGCAATATTTTTGTAGAGTATTACGATGATGAAAAATCACATCTTATGATAATTGGAGACCGGTTCAACAAATTAAGGTCAAAAGGGACATAAAAAGAATCGAAGAAGGACCAAATGCGATTTTTTTCCTTCTGGGATGAATTTTCCAAGGCGTGGATTTTTTAAAAAAATATGTTTTTGCGAAATTTTTCAATATTTTTTAATGAAAAATCCAAGTCGTGGATTTTTCTAAAAAATATTTTTTTAGGAATTTTAGAAAAGAGAAATTTTCAATTTTTTAAAAAATATTTTCCAACGTTTGGATTTTTTAAAAATATTTTTTTTGAGGAATTTTCCAAGAGATTTTTTTGAGAATTTCCAATATCTTCCAAAATATTTTGTTGATGATATTGTTATTTTTGTGAATATTATTTTTGTTGTAAATTGGCTTGTGATTTCTCTTTAAAATATAAAAATTTGAATTACATTGCCTGTTCGCCTTCCTTCCTTCCGAAAACAATTTTGAGGAGAGGAGGAAACCAAATTGACTTGAAATTAAAAAATTTCACTCCCACCAACCACAACAACAAACAACACGAAAACCAACGCATTTACAACAAATGTGGAAAATACAACAGTTGTTGTTGTTTGGTTGTTACCTGCAAGGTTGCTAAGTTGCTCACCGGATCTCGTGGCACAAGGTGTGAAAATTCCAATGGAAATCTTTGCATTTTTTGCTGTTATTGTTGTTGGTGGAAAAAAACAATGCTGCAGCTTATCGCCAATTGACATCAGTTGGCTTGAAAACAACAGCCAGCAGCCACCCGGCAAGGCAGTTGGCAGCCCACCCCAACCATCCATACCGCCACAATGCTGAGGAACTGTTTCACTTTAACGTCCCTGGGGTTTTTGGCAGTTTGAGGAGTTGTTGTTGTTGTTTTTTTTGTTAATTGCATTTAAACAATGAATGCACCTTGAATATTTTTTTGTATTTTGTTGTTGTTTTTTTGTTTGTGAAAATTACAACAAACGAAATTGAACTTTATTTTTCCAAATCGTTGATTTTTTTTGGTTTCTTTGCGGAAATTGGCTTCCGTGAGATTGTCAAAATGATGTCATTTACCAATAGCAGGAGCAGCGGGGTATTTTAAATATTCGGAGAAACAATAACAACAACAAAAAGAAAATTGAAAAATGTAATCGTATACAATTCAACAGGGTTATAACGAACGAAGTCCACCGGAGTTGTTTTGAGGTTTACATCGCAGCTGAGTATATTATTATGAGGATGTCCTTCGAACCCTGTCAGGATGTGTGACAGACCCCTTACTTAGGAGAGTAATGAAATGTTCGAAGGACCTATGTTCCACTTTATCGTTGTAACAGCCAACTTGTGGGTGAAATGTCTTGCGGAGGATTTCATACTTGTCGTGTCCGGTTTTCTTTTCTTCTATTAAGGACATTTTTAAAAGTTAACCCTTGGTGATTGGTGTGGGATGCGTGCGTTTCTTCAAGGTAATTTAAATTTAAATTTCTATTCGATTTCAAGGACATTTATGACATTTCAAGTAAATAATAATTATTTGAATATTAAAATTTAAATACATATCAAGAAACAAGTTTTTATTTTATATCCTGCAGCCTTGGATGTAGGGTGTGGGGGTCCTGGCAAATGAAATTTAATTTGTAGCAGATTAAAATTCCATATTGACTCATCAAGTCTCTCAGAAAATTCCTATTGGGTATGAAAGTCATTGGTGAGCATATGAAAAACCCATAGAAGAAAAAAATCGCCATAGGTCAAAGTTCGGAGATATGGTGTGATTACTTTTTGGGCTGGAGATCCTGTTATACATGAACTGATAGCTTTATATCTTGATTTGTAGTTATTGTATGAATTTTTTGCCAATACATTTCTTCGGTAAAATCGAATGAGGACTTTTTTTGTAGAACATTTAGCCGTTCTAACTGAATTATTTATGCATCCTTTTCGTCCTTAATTTATTGAACCGGTCTAAAATTATGACAACATGTGATTTTTTTTCCCCGCAATGTTCTATAAAAATATTGTTCATACGATTTTAGATGGGGTCTCCAAGACAAGAAATCGATATGTTAACGTTTTAAAGGTTTAATCTCAAGTTCACCCGTATCATGTCAAGTTTACCTATATGTAGGTATTTCTATATATTCCGTAACTATTCTTTGTTTTGAAGAACTATCGGATTCATTTTAATTATTTTCTACAAACATATATAGTTAAGAAAAACTGAAAAAAATAGAAAAAAAGAACCGGTTTTTAAAATTTTTCGAACCGAATATTCGGATAATAAAACCGATAATAGTCCGGTTCAATAAAAATTACCACATTTGTTTACTAGCTTTCAAATGATATGCATATAAGGTATTAAAACCGGGTTTGTTACCTAAATATCTGGTTCAACATTTTTAGAAAACCGGTTCTTTCTTACTCGAAATTGACCGGTTCAATAAATTTAGCGTGTTTGTTTCATTAGCTTGCTAATGTTTTCCATAAAAAGAATTAAAGCCGATGTTATTACCCGAATATCCGGTTCAAAATGTTAAGTAACCCGGTTCTTCCTTCCTCAAATTAGTCCGGTTCAATACATTTAGCGCCTTTGTTTATTAGCTTGCATTTTAGGTATTTAAAACGGATTTACTACCCGAATATCCGGTACAAAAATTCTTGCAACCGGTTCTTTCTTACTCGAAATAATCCGGCTCAATAAATTTAGTGCGTTTGTTAATTAGGTTTCTAATGGTAAGCATAAAAGGTATTAAAACCGTTTTTACTACCCGAATATCCGGTTAAAAAAATTAGAAAACAGGTTCTTTCTTCCTCGAAATAGACCGGTTCAATAAATTTTGAGCGTTTGTTTATTAGCTTTCTAATGGTATGCATATAATGTATAAAACCGGGTTTATTACCTGAATATCCGGTTTAAAAATTTTAGAAAACCGGTTCATTCATCTTTGGAATAATCTGGTTCAATAAATTACATTATTGTTTATTAGATTTCTAATGATATGCATATAAGTTTTTAAAACCGGTTTTACTACCCGAATATCCAGTTCAAAATTTTTAGAAAACCGGGTTTTTTGTACTCGAAATAGTCTGATTCCATAAATTCAGCGCGCTGGTTCATTAGGTTTCTTATGTCATGCATATAAGGAATTAAAACCGGTTTTATTACCCGAATATCCGGTTCAAAAATTTTTGAAAACCGGTTCTTTCTTACTGGAAATAATCTGGTTCAATAAAATAAGCACATTTGTTTACTATCTTTCTGATGGTATGCATGTAAGGTATTAAAACCGGTTTTATTGCCCGAATATCAATATTGGTCCACTTTTCAAAATTGGTCCACGGTTCAAAATTTTTAGAAAACCGGTACTCCAAATAGTCTGGTTCCATAAATTCAGCGCGCTTGTTCATTAGGTTTCTTATGTCATGCATATAAGGTATTAAAACCGGTTTTATTACCCGAATATCAATATTGATCCACTTTTCAAGAACGGTACTTCCAAAATGCCGATATTTTGGGTTGCCTGGGAACACTTCTCAACCAAGTTGGTTGGAATTTGGCACTTTGGGTTCTCCTGGGTTAGAAAATCATCTTACAAAAAATGACCAATATTGGTCCACTTTTCAAGATAGGACCCATTTACGGTACCGTACAAACATTTGTTATTTTGGGTTCTCATTGGGTAGATAATTTCCTTACCAATAACGATCAATATTAGTCCACTTTTTAGGTTAGAACAGTACCTCCCAAATTTCGTTATTTTGGGTACGTTTTTCAACCGATTTGGCTGAAATTTAGTATATTGGGTTCTCATTGGGTAGCAAATCTTCCTACCAAAAATTATCAATATTGGTCCACTTTTTAGGGTAGGTCTCATATAAGAGTACCTCTGATTGTGGGGTGCTTGGGAACATTTCTCAACCGAATTGGTTGAAAATTGGTATTTTTGGTTCTCCTGGGCTAGAAAATCGTCTCACCAAAATTTATAAATATTGGTCCACTTTTTATGGTAGGCTCCATGTAACGGTACCTTCCAAATTGCGCTATTTTGGGGAGCTTGAGCACGTTTTTCAGTTGAATTGGCTGAAATTTCGTATTCTGGGTTCTCCTGGGCTAGAAAATGTTCTCACCACAAATTGTGAATATTGGTTGACTTTTAGGGCGGGCCCCATATATAAAATGTTCTCACCACAAATTATGAATATTGGTTGACTTTTTAGGGCGGGCCCCATATAAGAGTATCTCTGAAAATTCGTTATTTGAGTCGGTTGGGTAGATTTTCAATCGAATTGGCTGTAATTTTTTATCTATAGAGACTCCATTCCGCTCTTCTGTAAAGTCTGGGTTTACATAAGCAACTCTGGTGCTGCTCTCTTCGATTCTCTTTTGAATTTCTTCCCCCTTGTCACTTTTTATACCTCTCTCTTCTAAGTACTCAGGAGAGTTGCTTACAAAAGTTGCATGTGTAACCCCGAGAAATACACCCCTCCGCTTCTCTATAAAGACTTTATTCTGCTGGTCTATAGTAGCCTCCAATTGGTTCTTCTATAAAGATTCCCTTCAGATTGTCTATAAGAAATCCCTTTCGATATTCTATAAAGGCTTCCTTACGCTCGCCTACAAAGAGCTTCATCTGAAGGATCTATTCAGCTCGTCTTTAAAAGACTACCTCCAGCTCTTCGATACATATTCCCCTTTGTTCATCTTTAAGATCTCCCATCAGCTAATTTTACATCATCAATTTTTCAACGCCCCTCTTTTGTAAACAACGCTTTAATTCAATAAATATGGATTTAATATTTTTTGAGGTTAGGATTTCTTTTTCAATTTTTTTGGATTTTTTCAAATAAGGACTTGATATTTGAATTGAAATTTGTCATTCATGCATTAAGTTTTGCCTCTATAATTAAAATGGGTTTTTAATAAATATAAAAATAAATTAAAAAAATGTGGGGAGTACTTACATCGATCTTTAAGGCGGGGCAATGTTGGCGATGGTATGTGTTTTAATTTACGTCCCTTGCGTATTGAATCCATCAACTGTTCACGGGGTGATGGTGTTCGCTTGATGGGTGGTGGGAGTTGACGTTCCGATGCCTACAGAAATTAAAAAAATGTATAATAAAATATATAATAATAAAAATTAAAATAAAAATTAAAATAATAATGAAAAAAATATTTCAGAAAATTCAAGATAAAGCATGCATAAATATCTATTACCACGTCGTTTTAAACAGCTATTTTTACAATGACTAGACAGATAGTTAAAAACTATTTTTTTAATAAAAATTAAATAGCGCATTTTGTTGTTGCTGTTGTTCAACTAACCTTCTTTAAAGGCGGCCGTGACCGAATAAAATCTAATATCAGAGCATGAGCATCTTTTTTCACGCGTGGAGGAATATCACCATTAACCATAACTTTGCGTAATTGATATTTTCTGGAAATAAAAATTAAGAGAAAAAACAAAAAAATCATTAAAAAAAGATATAAGAGAGAGAGAGAGAGGGGAAAATAAAACAATAGTAACGACCTATATTGACACTAATTTATAGGCATGGGGAAATCGATTCGATATGCCATACAAATTAGAGCAAACGTCAATGTTCTCTCGTTTTGATGGCAAATAAAATATTGGGAACATATTTAGTATCGAAATATTTATATCTTTAAATGTTAATATTTAACAATTTTTTTTAATTTTTAAAAAAATTATTTTTAATTTTTAAAAAAATTATTTTTAATTTTTAAAAAAATTATTTTTAATTTTTAAAAAAATTATTTTTAATTTTTAAAAAAATTATTTTTAATTTTTAAAAAAATTGTTTTTAATTTTTAAAAAAATTATTTTTAATACCATATATTTTTTCAATTTTACCAACCTGGATCTGATATCCTCCATTAGTATTTCATACGGTGTCAATTCATATTCGATGGGTGCTCGTTCATAGTTGGCCTTCTTTAGGCGTACACCACGCCGCAGCTCATCAATGACCTGTACCCAGAAGCGGGCCTGTAAAATAAAACAATAAAAAAATATTTTTATTAGTGAATATATACAAAGAAATTTAAAAAAATACAATTAGAGACATCGAAGCAAGCACAAACATGCAGCAGTATTAAAAAAAATAATTCATGCTATTGTTTTTGGTGGCTGGAAATAAAAACCTACTTGTATTGCCCTCCATATTTGCAGCTCTTGCTAAAGCAGTATTTTTATATTTGGCAAATACAAAAATAAATTGAAATATAAAAAAATCAGTACGAAATTCACAACGATTTTTTTCAAATTCTGAATTCGAGACTTGTGTGGATACTTAAAAAATATGTTTTAATAAATCCAAGCCTTGTACATGACCCTAAAAATATGTTTTAATAAATCCAAGCCTTGTACATGACCCTAAAAATATGTTTTAATAAATCCAAGCCTTGTGTATGACCCTAAAAATATGTTTTAAAAAATCTACGCCTTGTGTATGACCCTAAAAATATGTTTCAAAAAAACCAACGCCTTGTGTATGACCCTAAAAATATGTTTTAAAAAATCTACGCCTTGTGTATGACCCTAAAAATATGTTTTAAAAAATCTACGCCTTGTGTATGACCCTAAAATTATGTTTTAAACCAGTAAGGAAAGTAGTAAAGTCGGACTGGGCCGAAATGAATGAAACCCTTCAACACTTTGGGTATATTCCATATATGTATCCTAATAGACGTCGCGTTTTTATTATATATCTATATCTCAGGGAAACTTGCCAGAGATTAATTACTAATATTACTTCAGTACGTAGTGTCAATCGGCCTAGCTATGAATCTTTTCACGAAGCTTAGTAACATCATTCTAGACTTAATTCAAAACTCGTTCAAATCAAAATATATATAGGGACTTTGGTGCACCATTTACCTCAAATCGGACGAAAATATATATGGGAGCTATATCTAAATCTGAACCGATTTTCACGAAACTCAACACACATCATTCTAGACCTTATTCATTACGCTGTGCCAAAATTTCGTGCAAATCGAAAGTTATATGGGGACTTTGGTACACCATTTACATTAAATCGGACGAAGATATATATGGGATCTATATCTAAATCTGAACCGATTTTCACGAAACTTAACACACATCTTTCTAGACCTTATTCATTACGCTGTGCCAAATTTCGTGCAAATCGAAAGATATATAGGGACTTTGGACACCATTTACATAAAATCGGACGAAAATATTCATGGGAGCTATATCTAAATCTGAACCGATTTCATGAAACCTTGCACACATCATTCTAGACTTAATTCAGTACGCTATGCCAAATTTCATGCAAATCGCGAGATATATAAGGACTTTGGTATACCATTTACCTTAAATCGGACGAAGATATATATGGGAGCTATATCTAAATCTGAACAGATTCTCACGAAACTTAACGCACATCTTTCTAGACCTTATTCATTACGCTGTGCCAAATTTCGTGCAAATCAAAAGATTTCCAGGGTCTTTAGTGGACTATATACTTAAATCGTGCGAAACTACATATGGGAGCTATATCTAAATCTGAACCGATTTTCGCGAAACTTAACACACATCATTCTACACCTTATTCATCACGCTGTGCCAAATTTCGTGCAAATCCAAACATATATGGGGACTTTGGTATACCATTTACCTTAAATCGGACGAAGATATATATGGGAGCTATATCTAAATCTGAACCGATTTTCACGAAACTTAACACACATCATTCTAGACCTTATTCATTACGCTGTGCCAAATTTCGTGCAAATCGAAACATATATAAGGACTTTGGTACACCATTTACCTCAAATCGGACGAATATATATATATATATATATATAAATCTGAACCGATATTTCCCAATTTCAATAGGGTTCGTCCTTGGGCCAAACAAACCACATCCAATTCGGATCATAAATGCGACCTGTACTTTGTTTATTTAACATGGACAGACGGACGGACATGCATAAATCGACTCAGAAAATGATTCTATGCATATTCTCTAAAGTAACCATGGGTCTATCTCGATTATTTATGCCTGTTACAAACATATGCGCAAAGACATAATACCCTGTACCACAGTGTGGTGAAGGGTATAAAAATCCGAAATAATCTTTAAAAAATCCACGCCTTGTGTATGACCCAAAAAATAGTTTTTAAAAAATCATAAAAAGACAATAAAAATGTTTGGATTTTCCTACAGTTTTCAATTGCCTTTTTCTGGTAATAAAAAATAAATTTGTTTCAAATAGATAATTTCTATATATTTTTTATTTTCTATAATTAAAATGTTCCTCCATTCGATTTGTCATTGTTCTCTATTGTCTGGGTGGTTGTTACAGTAAACTATAGTATACTATTAAATTATTTATAGTAGTAAAATATCGACTACAACAACAATAATAATAGAATGTAAACTTAAACACTTGAAACGGTTGGTTATCGGTTTTCAATATTGTTGTTGTTTTTCTTTCGAGTACAATAAAAAGTACAAGTTTTGTTATTAAATGGCCCCCTTATCGCTATTAATAATAGTATTACAGCAACAACAAGAACTACTTCAATAAATTGCGTTCAATATCAAAAATCAACCAACAAAAAAAAAATAGATTTGTCATTAGAAAGAAAATAAATCTAATTACACGAGTGAAGTGTGAGAGGTGAATTTTTAAAATCGAAAGACGATTTCCAAAAAACTTGGCAGCACTGAAATTTTTTTCGTGTTCGATGACGTCTTTGTGCCATCAATTAAGCCATAATAGATATGATAATGAAATCAATTTTTTTGTTTATAATTATTGATAATCTAAAATTCGAAATAAAAAATTGTGTGTCATTCGCATTTCTTTTAAGGTTAAATAATTTTTTAAAAGAATATATTTTGGAGGTCCAAACAAGGCGTGGATTTTTTAAAGAATATTTTTTGGAGGTCCACACAAGCCGTGGATTATTTAAAGAATATTTTTTAGAGGTTTTTACAAGGCGGGGATTTTTTAAGGAATATTTTTTGGTGGTCAAAACAAGGCGTGGATATTGTAAAGAATATTTTTTCGAAGTCTATTCAAGGCGTGCATTTTTTAAAGAATATTTTTTCGAGGCCTTTACAAGGCGTGGATTTTTTAAAGAATATTTTTTCAAGGCCTATTATTAGGCGTGGATTTTTTAAAGAATATTTTTTCAAGGCCTATTATTAGGCGTAGATTTTTTAAAGAATATTTTTTCGAAGTATATTCAAGGCGTGGATTTTTTAAAGAATATTTTTTCAAGGCCTATTATTAGGCGTGGATTTTTTAAAGAATATTTTTTCGAAGTATATTCAAGGCGTGGATTTTTTAAAGAATATTTTTTCGAAGTATATTCAAGGCGTGGATTTTTTAAAGAATATTTTTTCGAAGTATATTCAAGGCGTGGATTTTTTAAAGAATATTTTTTCGGAGTATATTCAAGGCGTGGATTTTTTAAAGAATATTTTTTGGAGGACCAACACAAGGCGTGGATTATTTAAAGAATACTTTTAGAGGACTTTTTAAAGAATATTTTTTCGAAGTCCATTCAAGGCGTGGATTTTTTAAAGAATATTTTTTCGAAATATATTCAAGGCGTGGATTTTTTAAAGAATATTTTTTCGAAATATATTCAAGGCGTTGATTTTTTAAAGAATATTTTTTCGAAATATATTCAAGGCGTGGATTTTTTAAAGAATATTTTTTCGAAATATATTCAAGGCGTGGATTTTTTAAAGAATATTTTTTCGAAATATATTCAAGGCGTGGATTTTTTAAAGAATATTTTTTCGAAATATATTCAAGGCGTGGATTTTTTAAAGAATATTTTTTCGAAATATATTCAAGGCGTGGATTATTTAAAGAATATTTTTTCGAAGTCTATTCAAGGCGTGGATTTTTTAAAGAATATTTTTTCGAAGTCTATTCAAGGCGTGGATTTTTTAAAGAATATTTTTTCGAAGTCTCTTCAAGGCGTGGATTTTTTAAAGAATATTTTTTCGAAGTCTATTCAAGGCGTGGATTTTTAAAGAATATTTTTTGGAGGTCTATACAAGGCGTGGATTTTTAAAGAATAATTTTTGGAGGTCCATACAAGGCGTGGATTTTTAAAGAATATTTTTTCGAGGTCCATACAAGGCGTGGATTTTTAAAGAATATTTTTTCGAGGTCCATACAAGGCGTGGATTTTTAAAGAATATTTTTTCGAGGTCTTTACAAGGCGTGGTTTTTTTAAAGAATATTTTTTCAAGGCCTATTATTAGGCGTAGATTTTTTTCAAGGCCTATTATTAGGCGTGGATTTTTTTCAAGGCCTATTATTAGGCGTGGATTTTTTTCAAGGCCTATTATTAGGCGTGGATTTTTTTCAAGGCCTATTATTAGGCGTGGATTTTTTTCAAGGCCTATTATTAGGCGTGGATTTTTTTCAAGGACTATTATTAGGCGTGGATTTTTTCCAGGTCTATTATTAGGAGTGAATTTTTTGCAAGGCTTATTATAAGGCGTGGATTTTTTAAAGAATATTTTTTCAAGGCCTATTATTAGGCGTGGATTTTTTAAAGAATATTTTTTCAAGGCCTATTATTAGGCGTGGATTTTTTAAAGAATATTTTTTCAAGGCCTATTATTAGGCGTGGATTTTTTAAAGAATATTTTTTCAAGGCCTATTATTAGGCGTGGATTTTTTAAAGAATATTTTTTCAAGGCCTATTATTAGGCGTGGATTTTTTAAAGAATATTTTTTCAAGGCCTATTATTAGGCGTGGATTTTTTAAAGAATATTTTTTCAAGGCCTATTATTAGGCGTGGATTTTTTGAAGAATATTTTTTCAAGGCCTATTATTAGGCGTGGATTTTTTAAAGAATATTTTTTCAAGGCCTATTATTAGGCGTGGATTTTTTAAAGAATATTTTTTCAAGGCCTATTATTAGGCGTGGATTTTTTAAAGAATATTTTTTCAAGGCCTATTATTAGGCGTGGATTTTTTAAAGA